CTCACCAACCCTTACCTTTGGGTCTCATTGTCCTTGATGCTTGGTGCCAGTAGCCTCAGAAAGGAGTCACTATTCTGTCAGGGGTAAATAATCCCAGTCACCTAAGTAGGCAGCAGTGTTCTTATATGTTAGGAATTGAAGAGGTGTCCCAGGGACACACTTGAAAGTGTCTGGGAATCCCCTGCTTGGTTTCTAAGGTAACTGGGCAAGGTCACTCTTAGTAGCCTGGACAGGGCATAGAGAGCAGGGCCTCAGAACCCTGAGAGTGGAAGGGGACCATTTGATTCCACTCCATGAGCTACCATGACTGGCAATAGAGCACGCAGCTACAAAATTTAGATGTTTTCCTTTAGAGATGAGCAGCTTATCCAAACTTTTTTCTGCCTAGTTCATGATGAACACGTCCTCCTCTACTGATCTCCAAAGAAGTGACAGAATGTGCAGATGCCTCCAGGCCCAGGAGACTGGAACCTGGCTTAGAGGAGGGTGAGGTGAGGACTGCTGGAAGTGATAAGGCAGAAGAGGAGATCGGCATTATCTGCCTGTACTTCTCTCCCCTCTCTGCTTAACTATGAAATGCCCTAGCTCACTGGGTTTGGCAAGAGTGTTCAAGAGTCTTAAAGTTGTGGACTACATGAAGGAAGCCCTGCAGTCAGCATCGGTGGCTGGCTCCTGCCCAGGGCCTTCAGGGTTCAGAGTCAGCTTGTTCCTCTCAAAGGGAACAAACATGCATGGCTGAGCCTCCTATGAGCACCAACACAGAGGTCTGGGTGCTGTGTGGACAGGGCGGGAAGATGAGTCCAGACCCACTGCAGCGCCTCCTATAGAAATGACTGTACTGAATAAGCAATGGGTTGGCTAATATTTCTGAGGCACAAGATCATCTAATGAACCCTCCTAAGGGCAAGTGAACTATAATGCTCCCAAGCCTAGAAAAGTGGGGAAGATAAGCTGTGTGAGAGAGGACTAGTAATGTCAACATAATTACTCACACCATAGGTTCTCACCCAAAAGTAACATGTAGGATTTGTGCAGATGGACTTCTTTTCTTTTTTCTTTTCTTTTCTTTTGTGGGAGGAGTCTTTGAGAGCATGTGATTGGCCTGGAAACTGTGCAGCCTTTTCTGGTGCCATCTACTATGAGGTACATCATCAATCTCATTTGCCTCTTGTAAAAATATTAGCAGGAGTGCTCTTGTTCTTCACCCATTAGCACTTGTCAGTACTTCCTGCACAATCACCTAAATCTCAGCAGGCTGAGGATTTTCTCCTGTCTTTGTATTCATGGCCAGCCGGTAACCTTTTTCCTGCAGTGCACACGCATCAGGAATAGAGACTTTAGATATATTGAAAACTAGGACATTCCTGTAGGGAGGGACACAGACCAGAAACAGGGCACAGAAGGAACACTGTATCTTTATTTTGAGATTCACAAAGAAGTACTTAGCACCTACTCAGAGGACTTCAGGGCCTGGAGGAGTTCCCCCACAGCAGATGTTTCTCTTTCCTCTACTGTGGTGAGCCTGGTCCTGCCTCCCCTGCAGCTTGTCAGGGAGCTGTGAGTGTGACCAGCTACATAAGCTCATGTGCCTGCACCGTGTCCTGTGGACTTTTTCCACTATCTCATTCTACTAAAGTCCTACAAAAATCTCAAGATGGTCTCAAAAACTATCCTAATTGACCTGTCAAGACAAGGAGTAGATTATATTTTGTGTCAAACTACTTATCACCTAATTGGGAGAGTTTGGTAGTGTCTCCTTCTCCTTTTCAGGCACATAATCCAGATTCTAAACATCATAGTGTTAAATTAACTTCTGTATCGAAAAGGTTGTTGCAATTGGAGCATTTCCAGGATGAGCAGTGGGACAGGTAGGGACTCCTACATGACACGGGCGAGGGCAGGTGATTGTGGGCAATTCCCCTGGGCATAGTGGGCACCCATTTCCTGCTAGGTTTTACATTCTGAATTCAGGCCAGGGTTCAGAGCCTTGGAATATGGTCTATCTACTCCCTGAAAGGTACTTTAAAATTTTCTCTAAGTATGGAAATAAATTTAGAAGTGCTGGGTTCAAGTTGGGAGGGATGGGAACTGGGTGACCTCTAACAACTTTACATTAAAAGTCTACTCCCGGCCTTGTCCTTTACTACATAGGGATCCCGAGAAGTTTCCATGACCAGTAGGCCTCAGGTTCCTGATCTATATAATGGGTTTGATACACACTTGTAGTGGTAAGAGCAATGGAATCTAAGAAGTGTATTAAAATACCTAGCTGTACTTCTGACATATATTGAATAAATGGTGAAAACCACTGGTTCTACTATTACTTTAACCTCAGACTCTGTCACTCTTCTACTGGAATATGTGTGTGTGTTTCCCAGGGAAGTTTCAGTACATAATGAAACAGAACAGAAAATCAGGCAAAAATGTTTCTAATAAACACTCCCTCATATGCTCTTTCCAACAGGATGTATTACTTGATTAGATATTGGAGACTCTGTGCTGAGAACAACTAACTCGCAGCTCCTGGAATCTGGGTGAGAAACCAGATTTCCCTCCCTGCCAGCTTCTCTTCGCTGAGACAACTATTTTCAGTCATACTGATACAGGGGAAAGAAACTCCCAACCTGAACGATATCTGGGATGAGTTTGTGTTCTCTAAAATCGAAGAATGAGTTTTAGAAACAACAGAGGCTAAGAGCAGAATATATTTATTGAGAGAAAGAAAGCTTCTGTCCAGGAGAGGGACAGAACGGGGCCTGAGTGGGTTGCCAAGGACCTTGCCCTTCCCAGGGACTTTATGGGGCAAAACCATGAGGTAAGGCAGGTCTAAAATAGGGAGAAAATGGGAAACTACAAGGTGGGCGTGAGGTGGGATGAAACTGTGATCAGCCAATAAGATTACAGGTATAACTGTTCAGGCAAAATTGATTAAATTGGGATCAAATAGGGAAGCCAGTCATATAGCTAGGGGGCATGAATACAGAACAGGGGCTTTTCCTGTGGGGGGTTGGGCTAATGGCTCTTTCTGGCTTTTTCAAGATAATTGTTACGTATTTAGCATATCAATCCCTGATGCTTGTACCTAGGGAGGTCTGTGGGTGCATTTGTTTAGTCTTTTGTCTTGAGGTCTGGCCCACAGCAAATAGATCTCCCTTTGCAAGGTATCTTCTTTTTCATGGTGGCTCTTTGGAGGGCCTGGCCCTGTCTGACTGCCTATAATATTTTTATCTAACTCAGCTGCCTGTAACAATATCCGCATCAACAAATGTCTAGCCTTGGGGATTACAAGGCCTCTATGAGAATGAAGCCTAAAAACCCGGCCATTCTAGTGACAAATCTAGCTCAGCACAGATGCAGGTCGAAGAAACTTCAAGCAAAATTACACACCCTGTCATCCCAACATCTACCTCCTTCAGAAAGAAAATAATGGAAAACTGGCCCAGGTCTCGTCCTGCTGTTACACAGGGGAAGGTGCTCGCAAACAATGACAAGGGTCTCTGAAAGGAGGAGCACTGGGCCAGGCAGTCATTTGATCACTTGGGTAACTGGCTAAAGCAACTGGCCGGATCCTCCTGTCCTTCCTGTAAGAGTGTGAGGCAAACTGGGCTCACGAGGGGAAGCTGTCCCGGAAAAGCCAGTCACCCTGGCACTGTAAGACGCTGGTAAATGGACACTCCCAGCTGACAGGAGAGCACCTGGTCAGGGTCATAATGGCCTCACTTCTCCTGAGGGTCACCCTTATGTCGCAGGAAATCTCTGAAGGTGCTGGGCGGAAGTCCGCTGGTTCTGTCCCTGGGTAGGTCCACTCTTCTCATCAAGGGATTCCTCTCAGCTTCACCCAACATCTAAAAGCACTGCCCCGAGCAGTCCTCCATGCGCTCAGGCTGTCCTCTCAGGCCCAAGACTCCTCATCTGAGGGCCTGGCTGGGCCACCTTGCAGCTGCATTAGATCAACTCCGCAGAAGGACTGCAGTTACCCCAAGCCCCAAACTTCTGTGGCTCAGCACACACCTCTGGCTGCGCTCTGCCACCCCCGCAGGGCTCTTTTTCACGCCCTTTAATTCCTTGAGGACAGCGTTCTATTTTCCTGACATTTGTGATACTCCTGGCCCACACCATCTTACGGGGTAGACTTGATTCTGCTCCGTGTAGTGTACTCATATCTCCACCGCAGACACAAGGCCTTCCAAAGGCAGGCGTGCAATAAGAGTTTAGAAATGTACATGCCCAGGAGCAAATGCAGTAAATTTCCCCAAAAGGATAAAGAAGCAATCGTATACAGGTGTAGGTACAATTTAATATTACAGATCAGTAGCCGAAAGGAATAAGAAGCTAAGGGTTGTTTTCAGTCTTATCTTTATTTCTGTACTTCATCTCACTTGATTTAAACTTTTTTCACATTACAAGGGATTTCCTATTCCAATCCTTCCTTTTTTTTTTTTTTTTCCGTTTTTCTCCGGTACCGGGAACCGAACTCACGACCTTGCGCTTGCCAGGCAGGCGCTTTGCCGCTGAGCTAAATCCCCAGCCCCTCCAATCCTTCCTTGTCACAAATAAAATGAAAAGTTTCTTAGTTTGCTTCATATAAAGGAAAGACTCTCACATTGGAAGGGAAACACAAAATTTATTTGTGATCAGTATCACACAAAATCAAGTTTACATCAGATATCACAATCAGATATCTTCATGCTGAAACTAATATTACATTTAACATCAGCACCGTTCCAAAAATAAGATGTGCCAGCTACTTCAATCTTGCAAAAAAGGAACAAGTTTTCAAAAAGTCATAGAGAAAGCCAGTGCTAGTTTCCAAGCAACCCAAATAAAACAGACGTCAAGGTAGCACACACAGTATTTCCATAGTCCTCCTCTAGCCCTTCACAGCTTAGAAAACTGCCTGGCTGCTGAACCATAAACCTAAGAATGGGCCTCGCCTCACAAGGGGTGGGAGCTAATCTACTAATGTAGTTTTGGAAAACTCCATGTCCTTGGCATCCACTTTACCATTCAGGGGCTCTGACCCTATCTTGCTCCTCTCTCCAAGCCTCATCATACAGAACTGGGTAAGACCTGGGATCTCTCCCATGAATCCTGGCCAAATGCTGTAGGAGTTTCATCTTGCTCGTTTCAGCATGAGCCCTTGGACCCCACAGGAATTCATATCGAACAGGGTAACTATTAGGAATCTGCTGGTATTCCAGGTACCCTTCCCGTACCAAATCCACAGTGAGGAATTTCCAGGGCTCCCCAATTGCAACATTATCCCTCCGAGCTAACATCTTCCTCATTCTCAGTACTTGTGCTATCTCCTCCTCACTGGCAGTGTTGCCTTTGATGAAGATGACCGTCAGGATGACTATGAGGACACTGATTTGTGGAAAGCTCTCATAATCATCATTCAGTAATCCATTATAAGTGAGGCCCAAGAAGGGCACAAGCTCATATAGGTGACTGGCGGCATCCACTTCCCTCATACGAATGCCAAAGCCCAGACACATGCACTCACAGAAGTCCCTGAAGATCAGAGGGAATTGCTCATGGTAATCAGGGTCCACAGTGCACAGCATTTCTTCCATGGTGACCTGCTCCTTCTTTTGATACTTGCGGAGCAGGAATGGCACCAATTTATCTAACTTGTCATTTAGACACACGTGGCGCAGGACCTGAGCCAAGTTTGAGTCCTCTGACCGGCTCTGGCCCTCCACACCTTCTCTAGAACTGTTTCTACATTGCCACCCTTGATTGGACCCCACAGTGGTTGGGGGAGAGAAAATGCCCCAAGGATTCTGAGGACAGCTTGGTGTCACAAGCCGCTGCCCTTCATCTGGTGCGGGCCCAACTACAGCATGGGAGGATGGAGATGCACAGGGAGCAGGGACTGCTGCTTCCTCCCCCGCATCCTCAGGAACTTGCGCACCCATGAGGACCTGTGTATTTCTTTGGGTCCGATGGCCTCCCCCTAACATGTTGTGTTTTTGCCCTTGACCATGGGGCATCATGATGTTCGGCGTGGACAGTGAGACCTTGTTGTTGAAGACTCAGAAGCCTGGAGGAGAGAGGGAGACTATTAGTGCTCTCAGCTGAGAACGACACACTCTTTGCCCCCCACAAAGGACTATTATAGATCTCCTCTTTTGGGGGTGCTCTACCCTTAACAACCTCCTGTCCCATGATCCTGGGATATGAAATCAGGCTGCTATGCAGGCTGCTGTGAACTCATAGGACAAGGCTCTAGGGGAGACTTTAGGGCATATGAACCCTGAGAATTATGAAGTGTCCTGCTCTGAGATAGGGAAATCCTTAGGTCCACATCAGGGCATGCACCTCGCATTGCCTCCTAACCCTGCCTTGGCCTCCTCTGCTGAGTGAGCTGAGGACATTTCTCCATAGCAAGACCTTCACCCCTCCTTCTCTGAGCTCCTGTAAGCGGCATGGTGACCCTGCTGTCCCTGCTCTCAGAGGACTGGTGAGCTGAACTTCAGAGCTTCGCAGTTTTCTGGGGGAATGGTCAACTCTATGCTCACTCAAAACCCTGGCAAACTCAAAAAAAGTGTCTTGCTCTTGATAGGCAGCAAAAGGCAGCCAAGGGCACACATCTGGCCACAGCTTCCTGGGGACAGCAAGTGGCATGGAAAAATTCAGTGAGTACCATGTGTCCTAGGAAAGGGAGCCTGTTCGGTCATTATCTAAAGGCATGTTTACAGGTACAAGTCTCTGCAATGACGTGGAGCCACCCTCTTTAAAAATCAGTGTTGTCTCTGATACTTTGAAAGAGGATGTAAGGGAATGGGAGTCCAACTGTGTTCCCTGGGTATGACTATAGGCTGAGGCTAGGATACTTTTTGTTCAGATGAGTGCTCTCCCTATGCCTCATCTAGGCCCTTGATAGACCCTGGGATCGTACTTCTGCAATTCCGATTCCAGTCCACTTGTACTCAGGATATCACTGCAGTGAGACCAGTCAGAGACTGAAGAGAGTAGAGTCAGCCCGACACCCCTGTTCAGGCAGCCTGGGATGACAGCAAGCACAGGTCCGATGTCAGAAGACCACACAACTGTCCGTGTACAGGTCAGGCGTACACTAACGCCTCCCTTATGGTCCTCAACTGGATACTTGTCAGATAGGGCAACTGTGTGTCTCCTGACCAGGTGGGGCTCCCTGTGCCAACTTGGAGATAAACCTCAGGTGGAGCCGCTCACCTCCCTGACATCTCCTGGATTCTCAAAAGAAATGAGCAGCCTCCCATTGTGCCACCCTCCATGGGAACATCAGCCCTGACAGAAATGTGTGTGCCCATGTTTCCTGTGATGCCAGCCTCTGTTGTAGTTTAAGTCTGGCTTTGCCCCAAGGTCCATGGGATCACAGGCAAGACCTCCAGGAGGTGACTGCAGCATGGCGGGGGCTTACAGCTGCCCTGCTCTTAGGTGGGGGGCCTGGTAGGAAGAGGAGGGTCACTGTCGTGTGACAGGGCAGGTCCTATCTTCCTTCCTGACTCCACCCTTCATCCTCTGCTTCCTGTGGGACACTGTAGTGAGCAGCTTTCCTCCCACCAATATCTTCCACTCTGCTGTTCTGCCTTAGGTCTGGATAACTATGGCCTGAAACTTCTGGAAACTGAGCCCAAAGCAACTTTTCTTGCACTGAACTGCAGATGTCAGCTTCTGTGTCTCTGTGATGAGAACGTAAGTAAGGTTTCCCCATGTGCTTCTGTAGCTTCTCAGCTTTCCTCCTGTCTGTGCCTGCATGTGAGATGAGCTGATCTCCCATAGTCCTCATCTCCTGGAAGACCCCTCTCTGCCCCCTGGTAGAAGTGAGCATGCCAATTAGAGCCTCCCAGGGCTGACCTGGAGAACAGGAAGACTCTCAGGGATCTGTTGTTTCTGGGCTGCAGACACCCTCAATCCTCAGAAAGGACCTATATCTTGGGTCAGTCTACTCGTAGGATCCTCCATTTACTAACCGTATGTAGCTCCCTCTACTGACTGTGGTCCCCTTTGGAACCAGGCCACAACTCCAGGAGTTCTTTCACCTGCAACCACTTAGTAGAACTTTCAGCAGTTTATAGACAGCCACCCTCCCCAGGGACTACGGACTGATAACAGGGGAAGCCATGCTATGTGGGGTCCTTTGTTTATGGCCGTGGGTTACCTTCAAGCCTTCAGTGCTGGAAAACAGCAGAGTGATGACCGGTAGCAATTCAGTGGCTCCAAGATTTGAAATTGACGCTCTGGAAAATCACACCTGGGGGAGAGGAAAAAATAAAAAAGAGAGAAGTAGATCACCCAGAATGTGGAAGAAACTGACTCAAATCTTGGAAACTATCAAGAACTCTTTCAAGAAATAAGGGGACATACGTACAAAAGAAAGAATTAAATTATGCTTATTTGCAGAAAACATGATCCTCTACATAAAAGACCCCCAAAGCTCTATTAATTAATAATCAAATTTGGTAGTGTAGAAGGTTATGAAGGCAACACAAAAAATCAATAGAGTTCCTTTACATTGGTAAGAAACTCATAGAAAAACACTTGAGGGAAATAATACTTGTCACAATAGCCCTGAGAAAAATAAAATATTTAGGAAGTAGCCTAAACAAGGAAGTGAAGGACCTTGACTACGAAAATTACAGTAGATTGAAGAGAATATCAGAAAATTAGGAGCTTTGCCCTCCTGGCAGAACCAACAGAGTCAAAATGATCATGCTTTTAACGCTATTTTACAGATTTAACACAATCGCAAGCAAATGGCTACCTAAAAGGAATCAGTTTACAGTAAGTGCTAACTAGCCTGTGGGGAAAGATGCGCAATTCCTTCATTGTTTGTGGGAATATAAACTGGAACTACTATGATGGAAATCAGCGTGGGGATTATTTAGTAAACTAATGATAAAAAGTATATCCAACTGAGATATTCATCTCCTAGGTATCTTCCTGTGAGAATTAAGGACATCACATCACAGTGCTACATGAATTCCCATGTTTAGAGCAGCACAATTCACAGTGGCCAAATCTTGGAAGCGGCCCGTACGTCCATTGAGAGATGTGTGGATCCAACAATGTGGTATTTACCCACAATGTAGTACTACTCTGCCACGGACAAGGATAAACTTGAGTCAGTCATAAGAAAACAGATGCACCTAGATACCACAATGTTAAATGAAAAAATCAGATACACAAATTTAAATATCACATGGCTCTTCTTATATTAGAAACTGAAAATATAAATAAACAGTAAAATAAAAGTTGAATAATATTAAGTAGTGAGCTCTTTAGCATATTGGGAGGGAACCAAGGGATGGAAAGAGAGAGGGAAAGAGTGGAAGAAGGAGCATCAGATAAAAAAGGGGAACTGGCAGTCTGCACCCACACCAAGTCCCTGTGAGCAACGTGATCAGTATGTAGTGGTCTGTATCCCAAGAGATGCAAGGCTGGGGAGGGAAGAGAGGGAAGGGAGATTTTAAAAAGAAGGAACATGTGCCATGTACACGTATCAATTCCCACAGTGATTATAATCATTCTGCATTGCACACATGTACCAATAAGAGGAAAGAACCTTCAGTGCTCACCCAGGTTCCTCTCCTTGATTCGCCGCAGATCCAGGCCTGCTCCCTTTGCCAGCAAGACGTGTCTCCTCCTAATACCTGTTGAAGTTCCTCACAGCAAGGGCTGCCTCCCTGAGATTAGGAAGACAAAAACTCAGCACAGCTGCACACCTCTGTATGGGTTTCCTCACACTGACAGAGGAGTAGAATCCAGAGGCCCTCCCTTGTGAGCTATGTGATATTTAAACCATGTGATATTTAAGCCATGTGATATTCAGACCCAGGTGTTCACATTTCCCTGCTGCTAACCTGCGGCTGCATCTGGCATATCAAGGACAACAGAGGCGGAAATACGGGGCAGGTGACTCTTCTTCTCCGAGGTCCTGCCTGAAGCCAGGCCAGCCTACCGGCAGGGCCTGGTTTCCTATGTCTTGGATCTGCTGGCCTGAGGGCACACTGCTCAGACCAAGGCCCTCTTCTCTCTGCCACGAAGAACCAATTTCAAAGGTGCACTGCATGTTCCAGGGGCTTTCCTTGGGGGAAGGTCACCCTCTGGTCTAGTGTGCAATCCTCCCTGTACTCCTCTCCTAGAGTCTAGAAATAGCCTCACCCTTCCCCAACCTGCATCCTCTCCCCCAAATTAGAGGCAGGAATGCAGGACTGCACTCAGATTGAAAGAATGGGAAGGCCGGGTCTCATGTGTCATGTGTCCTGGGTCCTGCAGTCCTGCCTCATTTCTCATGTTGACTGGGTCAGGACCTCTTTCCCTCCTTTCCCTGAAGCCTTGCTTCTTCTTCAAAGATCCTAGGGTCCCTCAGACCCTTTTGAAGAACTCAGGAATCCCCTGCCTGATAACACTACATGTAGTTCCCTGGACTCAGAGCAGAGGCAAGTTTCTGAGGTGGCCACTCATCCTGGAGTGCAGCACACCTTCCTTTGCAACCAAGACTGTCACCATTCTCAGAGCCTTACAAAGCAAGTTGCAGTTCCACACATCCAGGCACCATGCACAGGGGTAACCAGGCCTGATAAATGGAGCAGAGTGGTGGCCCATGGGACTCCTCTAGTAGAGTGGGGAAGGAGCCATCTTTCTTTCCTGAGGGTCAAGCAGAACCTGAATCCCCTTCTCTGTGTACCTGAGTGTACCCCACACACCAAGCCTCTGACTTCCAGGTCCTCTGAGGCCAAAGTGGGGAGGGGACTCTCTTGTGGTCCAGATCTGACCCTGGAGATGAGTCTGGGTTGTTCTGAGACCCTCTCTCTGGGGTGGGGCTTCCTCAGGTTCCTCAGGCCCTCACCTGGACAGGGAATAGGTTCACTCTGCTCCCCTTACCTAAACGGTAGATCTCAGAACAAGGCTGTCCTCTCTCTGACCCACAGGCTGAAGTCACTGGACGTCATACACAATACGTTTCAGGGCCTTCACAGGGATGAGAGGAGGTGCTGAAAGAGATTGT